ACGCCATTCCCTAAGGTCGGATAATCTGGGGGAATCAGGTCGAGATTTGATAAATCTCTCGAAGTCAGCCAGGGGCACTTCTCTACAAATCAGCCAATCAGGGGCAAATCACTTCAAAACTGGGGCAGGCCACCCGGAGGGCACAAAGACTATCCTTGTCCAGAAAGGAAATCAACTTGAAAGCACTTCTTCGGGGTTCGAAGCGCTGGGGCAGTTCATATCTAACCATCAGGGTACCGAAATTTCAGGTTTCCTTTCGAGGAAGGTTTTTACAAAAGTCCCACAGGCTGGGGCAAGATCGTAAACAACGGAGATGTGTTCCTCTCCATATCTTCAGAGCTTATCAGAATTATAGAAGCAGATTTGGATTTATTTCCCCAGCAGTGGGACGAGCGCAGTATTGTTATCTCCACAGAGTCTGAACAATTGACTTCTTTCCCCTCAGAGTCTAGGTCATTGACTCATTCCTCAAACGGAAGTATTGTTGAAGTTTACTTCTCATTTTCCCCAAGCAGAGGTTGATTCCCTCCTTATCTAACCCCCAGCCAAGTCAGCGGAGTTAATTTCCTTCCCCACAGGGTGGAACTGACCCAGAGATTGTTTATCTCCATCCCCCAGCAGAGAGAGTGTGGGATAACCCTTCCAATAAGTCTTATTCAAAATCCCTAGCAGATAGCGGATTCAATCTCCGACAGAATGGAGCTATTCCTCAGCAATCTACTGTGTTTCCCCAGTAGAGTTATTCTGGCTAATCATTCATGGTTGATTTCCCCGGTAGAGTGGAGTTGTTGTCTCCAGCCGAGTGGCTTGATCCCCGGAAGAGTTGTAGGCTGATAAGCTATCCGGGACGTTTTCCGCAGCAGAGTTTGATTTGGATCCCCAGCGGAGTGGTTTTGTTCTTAACGGAGCGGTTTTTACCCAGAAGTTTTCTCGGAGGCCATCCACGGCTTGCGTTCCCCTGCATGAGTTTATTTGCGCTAGGCGTATCTAGCTCTGACTCAACGGAGTTGGCTCTTTCTCTTTAGCATTTATTTTGCTAAAGTTGGTTCATTTGCATCTACATACATGCATAGCATCCACCCAAACGCGAAGCATCTCCATAATTGAATGGAGCATTTCGTCATATTCAAACATATGCATTTGAGACACAAGCCAGGTCGTTACCCTTTTGTTTCAAATGAATCTCGCAGATGATTAGTATCTTTGCCCGTGTGTTGGCTAGACCCCAGCTCATGGTGTTTCCCCAGCGGAGTTATTTTGTGATTATCACCAATGGATGGTCTTAATTTCGTTCAAATCTTGTTGCTCGCTTATATTTAGCGAAGGTTTGACGGCGAGGTCAAGTGATTTGTTTCTTCAACGGCGATGTTGAGAAGTTTGTTTTGACGGCGAGGTCAGATGAGTTGTTTCTTCAACGGCGATGTTGAGATGTCTGTTTCTGGCGGCGATGTCGGAGTAGTTTGTTCTGACGGCGATGTTAGATGATCTAGTATTCTTCAACGGCGATGTTGAAAAATCTGTTTTGACGGCGATGTCAAGTATTTATATTCTTCAACGGCGATGTTGAGATGTTTGTTTCTGACGGCGATGTCAAAGTAATTTGTTTGTTCAGCGGCGAGGTTGAATGTTGGTCTTGACGGCGATGTCAAGTAATTTGTTTTTTCAGCGGCGATGTTGAAAGTTTGTTTTGACGGCGAGGTCAAGTAATCTGATTCTTCAACGGCGATGTTGAGAAGTTTGTTTTGACAGCGACGTCGGAATAATTTGTTTATTCAGCGGCGAGGTTGGATGTTTGTTTCTGGCGGCGATGTCGGAGTAATTTGATTCTTCAACGGCGATGTTGAGAAGTTTGTTCTGGCGGCGATGTCAGGAGTAATTTGTTTTTTCAGCGGCGATGTTGAAAGTTTGTTTTGACGGCGAGGTCAAGTAATTTAATTCTTCAACGGCGATGTTGGGATGTTTGTTTCTGGCGGCGATGTCGGAGTAATTTGTCTATTCAGCGGCGAGGTTGGATGTTTGTTTCTGGCGGCGATGTCGGAGTAGTTTGTTCTGACGGCGATGTTAGATGATTTAGTATTCTTCAACGGCGATGTTGAAAAGTCTGTTTTGACGGCGATGTCAAGTATTTATATTCTTCAACGGCGATGTTGAGATGTTTAGTTTTGACGGCGATGTCAAGTGATTTGATTCTTCAACGGCGATGTTGAGAAGTTAGTTCTGACGGCGATGTCAGATGATTTAGTTTTGACGGCGATGTCAATTATTTATATTCTTCAACGGCGATGTTGAGAAGTTTGTTCTGACGGCGATGTTAGATGATTTAGTATTCTTCAACGGCGATGTAGGGAAGTCTGTTTTGACGGCGATGTCAAGTATTTATATTCTTCAGCGGCGAGGTTGAAAGTTTGTTTTGACGGCGATGTCGGAGGATCGTATCTTTGGATTCAATATCTGTTTGTATTTAACAGAGGACTGACGGCGAGGTTAGATCTTTTTTACCGACTTAATGTTGAGGCCTGACCGTGAGGTCAGATGCTTTTACCGATTATTTTAAGAATTGACGGCGAAGTCAGAAGATTGTTTTAAGAGATGACGGCGAAGTCAGGTTATGTGAGGATTGACGGCGAGGTCAGATGTTTACTTGATTTAGGAGCTGACGGCGAGGTCAGACGTTTTACTTAATATGGGTGCCCGGCGGCGATGTCAGAAGTTCGTGTCGCGGTTGTCAAATTTCTGGGTCCTTGAGTATTCAACCGTCTTTTACCTTGATTGTATGAAAGTCGCTTACCTTTCATCCATTCAGGTCTAAGTCGCTTGAATAGGGGCAGCTGTTGTACCCCAAAATTTGTCCTACCTATTTATATTTTTCATTTGTATATTCACCCGTTGACTCTCATTCAGAAAATCAAAAAAAATATAGCTTGAGATGAATCAATTCAGGGCTCATTTAGATTTATTCTCAAAGTCATACTCCAGGATGATCTTGTGTCGTTCATTTATCAAATTGTAACTTGACTTGGTTCAAGTTTTGTTCTCGGCTATTACTTAATTTGTTTCAAATTGGTCCTAGGTCATGTTGGTCCAATGCGATGATTATAGTTCATTCTCCTCAATCCATGTTTAAGGTTGTTCAATTTTCAAAATCAGTTTGTGATAAGTTGGATTTAATTTGCTTCAAATTAAAGGTAAATTAGTCACATTATAATTCAAGTGGGTTCAAAGAGGATTTCTTGTTGTTGTTATGTTTCAAGTGCTTCAAGATTAAAAACAAGTTATGATGGGTAACAAAAACGTGAGGCCACAACCTCATTGCCCCAGCCCAGATTGTATTGCCCAAGTCAATGTTTTAAGTCTTAAATCAATACACCAAGAAAAAAGAAACAATAATACCCCCATATAATAGGCCAACCTTTCCACAAGTCCTGATGGCAACTAATTTACGCTGGCTTTCAACCATTACATATTTGAGCAATATTTCAACACAAGTTTTCAAAGGAAAATGTGGATTCATCAAGGCCCACATTACAATGAGGGAGCTCATATTATTACAAGAACAACAGTGCAAGCAAAATGAAAATTCAAAAAGGAATAAGAGTGCATTTCAAGCCAAATTAATAAAAAAATCATGTTCATTACAAGAAATACGAGGAATTGTTCTCCAAAGTTGCTACAAGTATATGAGTTCATGAGAAATTGTAAAGTACATATGCCAAAGGGAAAAGAGGGTAAAAGCTCATTGTTTCTACAGCACTAGAGTTGATTATGCAAAACCTATGGTTACTCAAATCACTGGGCCAAGAATCCACTGCCTGCAGCGCACCAGAACCAACAACAAAAAAGCTTGCGATGTAACCGTATACCACCAAGACCCTCCAACTTCTCTCGTTTCCGACCTCGCGACCTGCAGTGAAAGAAAACCAAGCAGCTCGTCCCTTTTGTGTAAAACGCAACAGCCGTATTATGGGGTAGCTCAAATCCCATCTCACCGTTGAAGGAATCGTACACGCAGCTATTACTCTGTGATGAAAAGGTTGAATAAATAGGCAGCAGTATAACACAATAGAAAAGAAACTCTGAAGAAGAAAAGAAGAAAAAATTGGTAAAACAAATACCATCTACGAGATTTTTCACAAAAGCGACATGATGTTGTTCTGTACGCAAGGCCCCTTACCTGTCACAAGCCACTCGCATTGTTACTGCAAAAATCGTACCAGCCCAACAACCATCAAGCAACATAGCAACTACAAAAACTCAGCAGCATATTAAAACAGGTATGGAAGCAAGTTGCAGATCAGATTGTGCAGGACCAATATGCAAAACGGCTCACGCAGCGCAAACATTATGGATTGAAAAAGAGCAGAGCGATAAGTTCTTCATTATTAGTGACTGCTATATAAGAGTTGCGAAAAAGCTCCCTGCAAATCAAGAAGAAAGAAAATAAGTCGTGCTCACAAGTAGTCCAAGCTACTATTTTGCATAGGCCAAAACAACATTCCATGTATGCGTTGTGTCGTACGAGCCAACCTTCATGAATCACACCACCCACTTCCTATTACGGACCTGCAAAAAAAAAGCCACGCTAATCCAAAGCAAATTACCACTCCCACTCCAAAACCTTCCCATAACAATAGCAAACGCAACATATCAACCAATACACAACCATAGTACAGAACTTGTTGCCCTATCTTCCACTATCCATCAAACTTGTACATGTGAAAACCAGCTGCAACATTGGTGAATTCTTTGCACATTGGTACCTGTTTTGAAGGATACTCCTGCTACGTTTGCTATTGTTGAATTCTTTGCACATTGGTGTCCTGCTTGCAGGAATTATAAGCCTCAATACGAAAAGGTTGCAAGGTTATTTAATGGACCTGATGCAGTGCATCCTGGAATCATATTATTGACAAGGGTGGATTGTGCAGAAAAGATAAATACTAAGCTCTGTGATAAGTTGTCTGCTATTCCTAATTCCATGTTCTCCTTGGCCCTCCTAATAATCATATGTTCTTTAAAGAGTGTAGGTGATGGAAATACTTCCGACTCTTTTGTTGTGAACGCCAGTAGCATGCGAGTGCTCCAAAGGCACAGCTAGCAACAGCAATTGCCAAAGCAGATCCAACCGGCACCACAACTGCATTCGTCCCGACTGTTAAATCTTCTAGGGTGGCTCCTTCAGCTCCTTCAGTTCCAGCAATATCATTCTCTTTGTACAGAGACACGAGTGTTTTCCCGTAATAATTTCTCAGAGTCCTGTAGACATCATCCTGGTTCCATTCAATTTTGTTGCTTGTTTGGTCATAGTCAAGGTAACAGGAAGAGCAAAGCTGCTTTGGAGGCCAAACTGTCTTTGGGAATTTGGGATCACCGGTACCTATAGAAGCTTCTTCTTTCCTCAGCCTTTCGTTTACCTTGTTATGGGAACTCCACAACCGGAGTGCAAAGTCGCGGGACTGGAAACACTTGAACACATCTTGTAAAAATGTTGTCGGCATTCCTCGCAGACAAAGAAGTTGTGAACAAAATCACAGATTGCACTTGTGCTTGGTCGCCGGCTGAGAAGTTGTTAGCCACTGCAAGTTTTGATGCCACCACTGCCATATGGGAAAATGTTGGGGGTGATTTTGAATGTGTCTCTACTTTGGAGGGACATGAAAATGAAGTAAAGAGTGTATCTTGGAATGCATCTGGAACTTTACTTGCAACTTGTAGTAGAGATAAGTCTGTTTGGATATGGGGAGTGCAGCCAGGCAATGAGTTTGAGTGTGTCTCAGTGCTGCAAGGTCATACTCAGGATGTGAAAATGGTTAGGTGGCACCCAACAGAGGATATCTTATTTTCATGTGGCTATGATAATACTATTAAGGTCTGGACTGTTACATTAATCAAGATGAAGGTACTGCATCCTCACATGGTGGCAATTTTTCTGGTGGACATTCAGAAATGTATGTTGTAAAAGTAGACAGCCTCTTCAACACACCAGACAACTTCTGCACAACCGTACCGTGCAGCACCATACTACAACTCTGCTACTACTGCACAAAAAAGTCCACACCAGACAATACTCTGCACACACCACTACAAAACACCAGCCTGCTGCAAACCAGACAAACCTGCTACACTCAACATCCACACCAGACCAACTCTGTTACAATCAGCTAAAAACCCTCCAATAAACCAACACCTGCAAAACTTCCCAAACAATCCTAGCAGAACCTGCTCCAATTCTGCAGAGCTCTATCCTGAAACACTCCATCAGAAAAGAAAAGGACAAGATCACTGCTGCAAGGACTGTACCGACCTGGACAAACCTGCAATGAAAAAGAAAACCCACGCCAGACAACCTTTTTGCACAACAGCAAACCATGAGAAACTTGTCCAAATCAAACACACACACAACAAAGCCTGGAGGGATATACACAAAAAAAACCATAAAATGACGGACCTTCTTCAAATTTTTTCCAGACTTTTCTTCCTCATAAAACCTCAACATGTTTTAACACTAGCATACGACTACCCAAAACTCACCCTTCACTCTTTTCTCAACAATGTGTTCAACTGTTCATGTTGAACATTGAAACATCATGTCCTTCGAATCGCACCACCTCCACCAACTAAATCATCATCAAGTATGCATCAACCATCACCCTTGAAGAGTCATTATTGTTCTTTTCTGATTGGAATAAATACAACAGAAACAACACACGCAGTGAACCACTATAGCACACACATCAACCATTCTTCACACTTCAGAACAACCATCCAACACCATGGAAACAACCTTCTTCTTCATTGATTAATCCCAACAAACCATGTTCTTCACTGTTATCAGCCTTCTCAAACCTTCATCGTGAGCACCAACATCAACCCTTATCAATCCATCCAAATCTGGAAACCCATTTCCAAAAAAAAATATCTTCGAACCACTCCAATCAAACTCGTTCATCTTCATCCACACCGAAAACCAGCTCATGGCAGAAAATGTCTTCAACCCTTTGCCATTGAACTATGTCTGAACCTCTCATTTCTCAGGTGATCCCTGTTCAATAAACAAACTCGCAGCAAGCTTACCAATATCTGCCCGCCGTGAATCGACCTTCAACGATCACGCCACCACGGTCACCATGACAGCCGTCTCGAAGCTGCGACAACAAACAAACCACAATTCCTTTCACCACTAAAACAACAACATAACCAAAAACCCCCTTCAGCCGACCTTCTATCAACTTCAATCATCTTCTTCAAACTCACCCAGAATAACAACCACCAACCGTTCTTCTCAAACACCATCAACCCATAAACTCCATTTTTTTTCGCACTTAAATCGAACCTTCTTTCGAAACCCCCCACGTTCAGAATCATCTAATCCAGCCGTGAACTTCAAACGCTCCGACAAAACCACGCAAAGCCTAAACCCCCCAGTCGCCCATTAATTTTCGAAACTCAACAGGTTCTTCACCAATAATCCCAAACTGCAGAATCAAACTCCTTCCTCAAACGGCCCTCATCGATCTCCTTCAATACGTAACCCATAAACCCTCTTCAGCCTTCAAAAACCCTAAAACTCGAACTAAACCAGGATAACACGTTTCGCAAACAAAAAAATCAGATAGACCTTATCGCGAAACAGGAGTGAATCGAGTTCGAGCTTGAACTTGAGGCGGTCGCGCAAACCCAGATCGACAATGAGGCTTGGAAAAACGAATCAGGAGGAGTCAAGTAGTTGGAGCGAGAAAGAAAGGTGAGATAATCCGCGGACAAAGTGACGCCAGGTTTTTCTGGTTGGAGTTGATGGGGTTTCGACCCATTTTTGAAGACATCGATGATTGCTGAGTAAGTTTTATTTCTTTTTCGGATTATTGATTGATGAAGGTGGTTGTGGATTTGAACTTGGCATCGTTGAAGTTTTTAGAAGTGTTTCTGTTTTCTTTTTCTTCCATTTTTTTAGAAAAAAAGATGTTTTGAATTTGATGATGGGCTGAGCCATATGCTGCTCATGAGCCCGTGTTTGCTCTTCCACATACCCCCTATCTTTTCTCTTGATTTTCTTTCAAAAAGTTTTTAATATAAATGTTTTACAAATAATTTTCTTAAAACAATTTTGACGACTTTTATTTTGTGTATATTCTGCTTTTGTTAATATCTTTAACTAATCGTATAAGATTTCTTTAATAAATAATTCGGGGTATACTTTTGTTTTTTTTTTTTATTTCGTTCTTGTTTGGGTCGATGACGAGACCTCCGTAATTCATTACCAGTCAGATTATTGATGAGTAATGTTGGATCTAAGACCACCTATTTTCTCTCTTCGTCACTTGTCCCGACGTGATCCAAAAACTTTGTCAAACAATTTTCACAATCAAATTATCTTTGTATTGAATTAAAAAGAGGGGATTAAGTGTAGACTTTCTTCCTCTCCGAGTGTTGGGATGCCCACTGTAGTGAGGGTGGTTCTGACACTCGTTTTTCAATACGAAGACGCTTCCCGTCCATGTTCGAATCTCATCTCCTTAAAATCATTCCTTTGTGTTGAGCTAAAAGAGGATTGGGTGTAGACCTCTCCTTCTTCGAGCGTAGGGATGCCCACTGTAGTGAGGGTGGTCTCGATGCTCGGCTGCCAATACAAAGGCGCTTCCAACATTTCCTCATAAAAACCTCGGTCTCGTACCGAGTCCTTTTTCAAACCATATTAAGTTGATTTCTCTTTGTATCGAATTAAAGAGAGAAGATTGGGTGTAGACCTCTTCTTCTCCGAGTGATGGGATGCCCACTGTAGTGAGGGAGGTCTCGACATTCGTCTTTCGATACGAAGACGCGCTTTTATTCACCATCTCTCCTTCCATAACTTCCTTCCACAATTTTCTCACGTAAAACCTCGATCCTGTACCGAGTGCATTTTCAATTTCTTTTTCATAACAAAACTTGAATGGTCGTGGAGTGGTTAGGCGTAGGCCTTCTCCTATCCCGAGTGTTGACGTTTACCGTAGGGTTCTCTGTCGCAAAACACTTACCATTCAAAGCCAAAAACACTTTAATAAGAGAATGAAGTTCTTTTTGTGTTGAACTAAAGAGAGAGGATTGAGTGTAGTCTTCTTCCTCTCCGAGTGTCAGGATACTCACTGTAGTGTGTGTGGTCTTGATACTCGTCTTTCAATACGAAGACGCTACGTTCGCCACATATTTTTACAACAAAAACTTTGAGATAAAGAATTGGGTACTACCCGTAGGGGTTACTATCCGAGGACATGTCTCGCCCCCTAAAAAACAATCCAATCAATCAAATGTGACTTCTTGCCTCGAGTGGCGAAAACCTAATCAATCTTTCAAAGAAGGATATGTTACGTCCGTTCTACCGCAAACAGGTAACGCCTAAGTCTCCAACGAGCGAGCAGCGAAGCACCTAACTGCTAGAATGCGCACGATAGCATCATTCATAAAAAACATCAACACACCGTAGGCCGAACTACGGCTGCTCTGATTCTTTACTTCTTTTAAGTAAAGATACGTAGGCACAAGGGCCACAATCCTTGCCGAGCACATTCACCCCACACCCGTAGTTTCCCGAACTACGTCGACTCTGACTTTCTCATATCTATTGAGAATACGTAGGCATAGGACTGCGAAGTCCTACCGAGTCCGTTCTATCTCCCTTCTCCCTCGTGACCTCTCTCTCTCGTTTCTAAACCTTTCCCTTTACCCTTTGAAACACTCTTTTATAGCATAACATTTTAGCACATCGACAAACAAAAGGTTCCCATCGAGTACGATGGATGCGAGGGGTGCTAATACCTTCCCCTCGCATAACCGGCTTCCGAACCCATTCTTGGTCGCGAGACCATCTTATCCATTTCTTTCTTAAGGTTTTCTCGATATTTTCCTTTCCCCTCATGGGATAAATAAAGTTCGGTGGCGACTCTTCTGTCTATCTTTTTCGCCTTCCCGTCGTTGCGCGATGCATTTTTTCGAGTAGCGACACCACCATCTTCTGAACTATCTTCTTGATGTTCTTATTGGCCGCTTCGACAGCGCCATTCATCTTGGGCCGATAGGGAGATAAGTTGTGGTGCTCAATCTTGAAATTCTGGCACAATTCCTTCATCATCTTATTATTCAAGTTTGAACCATTGTCAATAATGATTCTTTCCGGAATTCCGTATCTGCAGATGATGTCCTTTTAGATAAACCGGGCTACCACTTGCTTGGTAACATTAGCGTATGACGCTGCTTCGACCCATTTGGTGAAGTAATCGATAGCTACCAAGATGAACTGGTGTCCGTTAGAGGCAGTAGGCTCGATCTTGCCAATCATATCAATGCCCCACATGAAGAAAGGCCACGGGGACGCCATAACATTCAAAGGGCTTGGCGGCACATGATTCTTGTCTGCGTAAATCTGGCATTTATGGCATTTCTTCGCAAACTTGAAACAATCTTTTTCCATCGTCAGCCAATAATACCCTGCTCGTAATAGCTTTCGAGACATAACATGTCCGCC